GTGGATCTTTCCAACTTGAAAATAAACTAAAATTTTGCTTAAGATCGTGGGATATCTCAGAATCCTTCAGACTAAAAGATGTTGATAAAAATGTACAAGGGATAATAATTCCATATTAAAGACAAACTAAAACTAGTAATATCACTATCTTAAGGCAGTCTCATTTAATTTTCCAAGAAACTCTTCTCATCTCGTTACCTCTATAAAATCTCACATGTCACTTTTCTAAAAGAGTAAGTTTGTGTGGAAAGATGAATGGGTTACACATAGATATGACAACTTATAGAATTAACAATCTTTATAAGACTCTTAGGGCGAAAGCAATCCATCACCAAAAAATTAATGTGTCATTGATGTGATGGAAATGTCTTTCTCATCCAACAAAGTTACAAAACATAACATATGGAAACCATCTTTCTCATCCATCCCAATCTGATTTACTCAATTTTTTATTTTTTAAACTTTTAAGCTAAACCCAGGTTAATTTAAAACCAAAAAATTAAAATTAAATTAAACACAACATTTTTGTATTAAAACAAAAACTGGTACATATGAAAAAAAAAAAAGATAAAACGACAATTAAAATTCAACCACCATAATTAAAAATCCTAAAACAATTAACTGTTAGGAATCGGACCGGGTACACGCAGCGGAAACACTATCACACACTCACAAACGAAACGAGAAAATAAAGCAATAAAGAACATAAGGATTTTACGTGGTTCGGATTCGGTGTAAATCCTACGTCCACGGGCTGCAACTAGATTTTCTTATTAACTTAATAAGATTACAATTTATAACTCTACAAGTTATATTTGATGCACACATACAAAGGGTTACATCGCACATATATATATAGGAGAGAGAGCCGTACTTTCTTTTGTTTACACAAATTGCCGTCCAAAATTTTCCTTCAATTCACATATTGTGAATATAATATTGCGGCCGTCCATTACCGACCATGCAAAAAATGCGTCCAATAATAAACAATTGATTTGCCGTACCTCCATTTAATATTAAACAATTGAATTGTTTAATATTTTTCAAGTTACATTTATGGCCCTTGAACTCTTAGGAACTTGTCAATTTGTTCAAGACTCCATAAATCTTAACAATCTCCCACTTGGAGGCTTGAACAAATTAGTCTTTCTCCGCCATCCAACTCTTAATTACTCCAGTAATCTTAAAAAAACAACCAAGTCCTTCAAGCTTCCAGTTCCAAAGAACAAGCTAAAACTTAGTCTGATTTCTCTAGTTGCAGCCGCCCCTCATCATCAATTACTAGAAGGGCCAGTTGAAGCTCCCACTAGCTCCAACTCAGCCGTGGCTAATCCCACCACCAACTCATCCTCTGTCTCAACCGGTTTGGACACTCCACCAGATCCAGAGATACACCGAGGACCACTAACACTCTCCAAACATAGCAAACATCCAACAGAAGAGAAATTTTCAGTCTTAGTCTTCAAAACCCAATGGCTCTTTGTAACTGTACCCGGAACACGCCCCGTGCTCCCACTGTCACAGAATCTCCTGACTGGTTTAGACTTTCCGACTCGTTCAGCTAACATCCCCTTGGCTCCAGAATTCATGTTTGCAAAATGAACTCTCTTAGCCGTAGATTTAGCGAACCAGATTTTGTCTTGCTTAACAGGGACGGTCATACTTCCCTCAGCAGGTACCTCAACCATATACAATGACCCACACTTCATACCACGAGCAATCACCAGATCACCATTGACCACCCTCCATTTACCACTACCAAACCTTACTTCCAGTCCTTGTTTATCCAGCTGACCAACAGAAATCAATTTCTTCTTCAGCTCCGGAATCACCATGACATCCTTCAGGCTCCATGTAGTTCCTAATGAAGTAACCAAATCAATATCTCCCATGCCCGTTACCTGAAGCATCTCATCATTTGCCAAACGTACCTTTCCAAAATCTCCTTCTTTCAAATTCACCATCGTTTCCCCGTTGTCCATGGCGTGAAACGAAGCCCCTGAATCCATGACCCAAGAGTCTACAGAACTTTCCATACTGAGTATCAATGCATCATCCTCAGACACACTCTCAGCACCAGCAATGTTCAATTCTTTCTTTGGACATTGACTCTTAACATGTCCCACTTCTTGACAGTTCCAGCATTTCACATTCTTCAAAGTTCTAGAAGAACTTTTTCCCCGACTCCCACTGCTCCCACTATTCCTGCTATTCCCTCTACCTCTTCCGACATTTAATAAATCAGAAGAGGAAGATCCACCTTGATTCTTGCGTCTGATATCCTCGCCTAGAACCAAATTTCTAACCCCTTCAAAAGTCATACCACTGGTCCCCACGGAACTTGTAACAGCAGTAACTGTTTCGGACCAACTATCAGGTAGAGAAGCTAGTAGCAGCGAAGCTTGAGTCTCATTATCAAATTTAATTCCCACAGATGATAATCTGGACAGAATTGAATTTAGATTGTTAATGTGAACCGTAACTGAGCCTTCCTCATTCATCCTTGTAGTGAACAGCTCCTTCATCAAGAACACCTTGTTAGCCGCCGATGGTTTCTCATACATATTTGACAGAGCCTCCATCATACCACGCGCCGTGGTTTCATTCATGATGTTGAAAGCAACGCTCTTCGTCAACGACAATGTAATAACCGCCTTGGCTTTCTTGTCCTTTGAGTTCCACGCATCTTCAGCAACTTTTTCAATTTTCTCCGGTTTGTCTCCGAGTACCATGTCCAAGTCTTTCTGACATAGCAATGCTTCTAATTGCATTTTCCACCAGCTAAAATCAGAACCATTGAACCTTTCGATTATAATCTTGTCTTCAGCCATTACAGCAAACAAAAAAAAAATTAGGTACACTCGTGTGTGACAGAAAAAACGATCGTACCCTCCAAAACCTCGCTAACCAGGCTCTGATACCAATTGTTAGGAATCGGACCGGGTACACGCAGCGGAAACACTATCACACACTCACAAACGAAACGAGAAAATAAAGCAATAAAGAACACAAGGATTTTACGTGGTTCGGATTCGGTGTAAATCCTACGTGCACGGGCTGCAACTAGATTTTCTTATTAACTTAATAAGATTACAATTTATAACTCTACAAGTTATATTTGATGCACACATACAAAGGGTTACATCGCACATATATATATAGAAGAGAGAGCCGTACTTTCTTTTGTTTACACAAATTGCCGTCCAAAATTTTCCTTCAATTCACATATTGTGAATATAATATTGCGGCCGTCCATTACCGACCATGCAAAAAATGCGTCCAATAATAGACAATTGATTTGCCGTACCTCCATTCAATATTAAACAATTGAATTGTTTAATATTTTTCAAGTTACATTTATGGCCCTTGAACTCTTAGGAACTTGTCAATTTGTTCAAGACTCCATAAATCTTAACATTAACTAAAGTCCAAAGATGAAATTCTAAAACTTTCGACCATATTTTGCTGCAATTTGTCATTTCTTCTCAATCACAATTCACATCAAACATCCGATCAAATGTTAAATGTTCATCCGCCTCAATCTCCCACTCCAAAAATTCAATGTCGCTCAGTTTCTTGGATAATGCACAATTTTCATCTTGATATATATATATATATATATATATATATATATATATATATATATATATATATATATATATATATATATATATATATATATATTCTCTTCCGCCTCCGCTTTGCTTATATTGTGGATGTCAGCGATTTCGTTGACTAGATCAACTGTATCCGGAGGTTGTCGATGTTGCTTTCTTCTGGTTTTGGCTGCAAGTCAACAACATGAATCGCTTGAGGGTGTAAATTGTGCATCCGAAAATGTTTTTGTTTTTTATAGAGAGCGGGGAAGTCTTCACTGACTTTTGCGACACACAACCATTTCTTGTGGACTTTCAGAACATCCCAAGCTGACTAATAAGGAAAAACTTTCATTTTATAAAGCGCTTGCCATACTGTTCATCTTTTTTGTTGTTGGTGTTGTAGATGCAGTTACAATCTTTGCATTTTTTTTGAAGAACCTTCAATTTAGAGTTTATTTGGTGCCTTGTCCAATCCAAACCTTCCATTTATCAGGGAGTAAGCGTAAAACTTTCTTCATCCGATAATTGCACATTTTGGAAATTGGTGTTCACAAATCTACAACTTAGAAGAGAAAAGATACTTGAGAGAATGAAGTTTCATTGTGTAAATTAACCCCTGTTTCTTTGTGAGTTTTGAAATCAGAAAATTAAAATGAAGAATTCATGTTCTCTTTGATCGAATGGGTTGGATTCGAATCCACTGATCAAGTCCAGTAATGACAATTTAGTTCCCATGTACAATCTATAATGAAATTGTCATAAGTTATTCATCGATTTCTAAGTCTCACCATGTTCTTCGATCTTTAACCCACACATGCAAATCAATGTGGGCGGTAGTGGTGGGAAACTGGGAATGTTGGTGGAGTTCGAGTTAAGGTGAATGAACGAGGCGGTAATGGAGAGGAGTAATCATGTAGTTATAGGCAATATTGACAAGCTTCCAACAAGACATGGTAACCAGCTACACCTGATAAAAGCAATAAATGACAAAACCTATCCGAATGTCAAACATTAATGGACATAAAATCCTACTTAGAGTAAAACCGTCGGTTTTTGCCAAACTTAAAGGTTTTTAATGGACATAAAATCCAACTTAGGATAAAATCCATTTTGTGTTGATTGGTTGTTCAACTTAACACAACTATTGTTAAATATTTGTTTTTAGAACGACAAACACATACTCTCTAAACTACTCATTTTATCTCCAACAACGAGACTTGAAAATCAACCTTTGGCTGAAAGACAAATTTCCATCAATACCTGATAATCCTAGGCTATAAGCCCTTTAGTGACTACTATTAAATACTAATACATGATAATTCTATTTTGTTCATCTCATTCAACCAAACACCCCATGAAACAAACTTAAATTTCAATTCGATCATATTCTTGTGAACCAAACACGCATTAAGATACCAATAAATAAGTAATATTATCAATACACAGAATCTGACGAACAAACACTTGGATATATAGTCTTAGTTTTTGCATCGATACTAACGAGTAACAAGGCACACAAGGTACAATAGCCCTAGCTAAATGTACAACTCACACAAGTCATAACATGCTCTTGTAGCCTTGTTTTAACAAATGTTAACAGAAACCCTCATCAAAAAGCTAAAACATAACTACATACTCAAATCACCTTAACCAATATGTGGAACTAAGGGATTCCCATTAATTAATTGCTAATAATATCATTATCATTTATCCACGTCGTTATGTTAAAACTCGACACCCATTGCCCCCTGCATGTAACATTTCAAATTTTAAACCATCACATAATTACATTTTTGGTCCCAAAAAGTCCTTTTACAATTTTGGTCCTTACTTGAGATTTTTCTAACGTTTTTAGTCCATGTTCCAAGTAAAATGACTATATCTTTGGGACCAAAATGAAAATAGTCATTTACTTGGATCAGGGACCAAAAATGCAAAAACCAGCTATACACAGGGACCAAAATGTAAGGGTTCATACCAAAATCGGATCTATACTGCCATTTTCATTTCTATTTTCTGATGAGGATCATATCCTATGAGTTTAAAATCATCAGCCACAAAACCATCTATATCCTTCTTCTCCGAATTAATCTTCAATATCTGCAATTATATACATTTAAAAATCAAAATAACATATATAACTATAACATATGCCATGTTTCTTTTTTTCAAATAAGTGTTGTTTGGATAAAGTATTGTATAGATATATGATGATTAAAAATAGAAAAATAACCCGAAAAACCTTATTTTGAGCAATTTTGCAGTTTAACCACTTGTACTTTATTTTTTTTAATCAATCCATAAAAGTTTCAGACACTTTTCCAAATTAACTATTTTTACCAGAGAAATCCAATATAACAAAATGGTTAATTTGAAAAAATGTCTGAAACGTTTATGTTTGATTGGAAAAAAGAAAAATAAAATAAAATATTAATGGTCGAAACGTATAACTGCCAAAAACATAATGTTTTTTTTCTTGTAATTTTCCATTATAAATATTTACAAAAAGGACAACATTTTAGGGAAATAGAAGGAAAAAGTACGTAAGGGCAAATTTGTAAAAAAGAAAATAACTTAATTCTGCTTACAGGAAAAGGTTTAGGGAGTTTTTGAAGCTGATCCTGCAAGGGTCTGACATGAGTGCTATAGACATGAGCATCACCAAGAACATGGACAAAATCACCAGGAACAAGATCTGTCATTTATTCAAATAAACTTTTATAAAAACAATTTATCTAAAATTAATGGAGATTTTTTTTTTAAAATATTCATACCACAAACATGTGCAATCATGCAAGTCAACAACGCATATGAAGCTATGTTAAATGGAACACCAAGTCCCATGTCAGCTGATCTCTGATATATTTGACAAGATAACTCTCCTTCATTTACATAAAACTACAAAAATAATAATAATAATAATGTTATTTACGGATTAATGGAAGGAGAGAAATTAGAAATTAGAAATATAAAAAAATAAAAGGAACCTGTGAAAACATGTGACATGGTGGAAGTGCCATTTGTTTGAGATCTGAAGGGTTCCATGCTGAAAGAATGATACGTCGATCATCTGGATTATTTTTTATTTTCTTAATAACATCTAGCAATTGGTCAAACCCTTGACCACTGTAGTCAGCATGCATGTTAGTATACCTGTAAATGTTTTTTTAAGTATCAATTAATTTGTTTACATATCCAAAACATCATAAGGGCATTTACGTCTTTTGCACAAGACAACTAACCTTGCACCAAAGTGTCTCCACTGAAACCCATAAACGGGACCCAGATCACCTTCTTCTCTGTCCACTAAGCCAATACTGAAAGTATGAATGAAATATTAAAAAAAAAAAAAAAAAACATATACATAAATTATTTAAAAAAAAAAAAACATTTCATGCCAATTACCTGTCTAGGTAGGTTCTTGATGCATTACCATCCCATATATGAATGCCCTTATCTTGTAAGACCTGATAACAATATAAACCAAAAACTAAGCAAAAACAAACATTTTCATTCATTATTTATTAAAAAGTAAAAACTAAGACAAATACAAATACAAATACAAATACAGCATTCGTTTTCTATTTATGTGGTTAGTGAAATAGGTTCAAGATTATTTATTGAATCAAAAACAAGATTTACATTTACCTTTGCACTTGTTGACCCACTTATGAACCACAAAAGTTCCTCCACAACTCCACGCCAAAAAACTTTCTGTAGAACAAATAAAAGGGTATTTAAGTAATTTTTCCGTCTTCATGAACAGGTTAAATATGATTTAAAGAAATGCACATGCCTTGGTTGTAAGAAGTGGAAAAGACTTTCGCAGATTGAACCTCATCTGTAAACAATAAAAAGAAAGAAATAACTTTAATTACTGAGGTTAAGGGGAAGGGTAAAAAGGTAAATATGAGGTTGAAAGTACCTGACAACCAAATTTTGACAAAGTACCAGTTCCTGTTCGATCACCCTTCAAAGCACCATTGGAAATTATATCTTCCACTAGTTTTAAATAAAGGTACTCTTCATGCTTTTCAAATATCTTTTTGGGCAAAAAAGAGAACATTCTTGAATCAAATTTTGGTGAGTCTGAATGACATTCAGACAATGAACCATTAACTTTGGGGGATTGGATTCCGGAGTTTCTCACTCGAACATATGTAGTGAAGGAATGGCGGATTCCATTCTCGAGTAGTGGGAATGACGAATACCATGGTTGGAAGTCTGAAGTGTTGATGGAAGGAATGAAAGTGTCACAATCAATGTCTGTTTCAATTTCAGTTATATGGATTGCATCACATCCAGGAGCATTCAGTGATTCCCTGGAATCATAAAGATTGCAATCAAGTAAAAATTAGATACAAAGCAGCCGAAAAATAAGAGCTTTTTTACTTTTCCCACATCAGTTTTCCACTAACTTTTATTTAACAAAAACCCATTATCACACATCATCTCCAATCAGTTAACTAATTTATAAATAAGAAAAAGCACCACTTTCCAACAGTAAAAAGTTATAAAAAGATTACCATTAGAGATGCTCTAAACATAAAACATTGGATACATACCTTAAGATTTCACCACCACCAATCACAAACACCCTTTCAATAGATAAACAATAGGGTGATGAAGCTAACAATTCCAAAGCTGAAATCATGCTTCCACACATTAAAACATTTTCAGCAGTTGCAATATCAAAAGTTCTTGAACGAGTTAGAACAACATTGAGTCGACCAGTGAGTGGCCTATGTTCTAAAGGTATGCTTTCCCATGTTTTTCTTCCCATTATAATAGCATTCTTTTTCACTGGATCTGATGTTGTCATGGTGACATCTTTGAAAAATTTGAGGTCTGAAGGTAATCTCCATGGTAATTTTCCATCTTTTCCAATCCCCATTGCACGTGTGGCAGCAACAATAACTTGGTATGTTCTTTTGGGGTCTGGATGTGTACAGACAATGCCATTGCATGCACTTACTAGTGTTTCAGCAGCAGCCATTAATAGATTAAATGGCTGAAACAAGGTTAATGATGATTAGTGAAAAGAAAGTCTGAATGCAAACATTTATAAGCTACTAAAACTGTTTGGTCATTTATGGGTGATTGTATTTGTATGCAGATTGCAGACACCCTAAAAAGAATGCTCTTTAATTTCAGTTAAAGGCAAAATGGTAGAGTGAGTTAGGAAAACTAGCAGAGATTATTAGCTATATTGATGTAATACACTTAACAAAACAGCTAAGTACTAGAAAGAGCTGTTAATTGAAGCGAAATGTCCCAAAGGCCTTGAGTTTATCACTCGCAAAAAGGTTCATGAAGTAGGGATGCATCAAATATGCCCTAAAAACATCTTTCCCCTAAAAAAATTTGAAGAATATGGTGTTTTATGGACATGATTACGTATATTGAACCGATAACTAGAAAATCATCCAGGAGTTTTATAGCATCAAGATATAGTAGGAAGTTTAGGGTTTATAAATTAGAATGAAATAATTAAAACCTAGTGTATGCTAAAAAAATCGATGAAGGAGAAGAGAAAGAGTAATGAGTTATGGGTACCTGTCGGCTGTGTCGATTTGAGAAAGATCTTACGGTTCTTCTTGCATGCAGTCGCCGGCAGAACAAAAAACACTGAGCTGCGAATGCGTTGAGGGCATGATGCATACAGAAAACGAAATTAGCCCATTTTAAGGCCCATTACCTGTAGAAACTTTTGAGGCGTTGAGGGTATGTGTCCCCTATCCTTTTATACAAGAACCATATAGACGAGGAACTAAAGTCAGCAAACAGCCAAACGCACAGAACTAGTTCGATGAATGCTAAGTCCATACTCGACATTCAGCAAATTCAAATAATTAGAGCATTCTTACGTGGTTTTCTCGAGCAGTGGATGCAGGAGGATGGAGAGCAGTCCAGAACTAAAGCAAGCAAGCTTTGCTTTGACGACGGAAGATGCGGATAGTCGTAAGTCTAGTCTAGTCGTCACAGTCTACTTGCCACAACGAATCAACGTACAAGTTGGGATTTAAATATTTAATTAAGGATTACAATTTATGGTTCCAGTGTAATTTATAACTTTTAATTATATATAAAATTGTTTTTTTTTTCTTAACTGAAATTTTGATTTAAGTTAACCGTTTAACATTATATTGAAATTAATAATTTAATTATGACAAAATTGCAAGAATAGTCCATGTAGTATGCAATTTTTTGGGGTTTTAGTCCAAACCACGACTTTGTTGGATTAGTGGTCATTTTGAGCTAGTTTCTTTGCGTTTTTGGTCCCTCAATAAACTGAAAAGACTATTATGCCCTTCTGATATATTTTTTTATGCTTTTTCTATTTAATTTAAATGAAAAATAAAATAATTACCTAATTTGGGCCCCACCTCTCTCTCTCTCTCTCCCTCCCTCCCTCCAGTTTTCGGTGAAATCCAAAAGGAGTCAACACCCTCCTAGTCCTCCAATTAACCCTATTACCTTTCTTTTTAGCTGCACTGTCAAGAAACGACACCACTACTGGTGGTCTTGAACCACCATGTTGCACCACCAAACATCACCCAACCTTATCCTTCTACACTCTTCTCTCGAAGACCTGCTGCTCATAAAACGAAGAAGGGAACAAGAACCGCTAAGGGCAGCCACCCACGACTACCCACCGTCGCTAATGCTGTGGAGTTCCGGCCGTCACCGCCACCACTAAGCTGTTGTTGTCAGGGCACTCCAACCATCACTAGTCACCGAATTCGATCACCACCAATCCCCGTAGAGGGTAAGCCGTAAACAAAGCAACAGAAGCCCCCGGAACTCCACCACCCGCCTACATCATCGCTCAGTGCCACCATGTCTCAGTTACTGTGAAGCTCCGTCGTCGTCACCTGCTGCTTCCTATATCAAGGAATGAAAGGATCACATCACACCAGGGACCCATCCACTGTACTGCAATCAAAACCCATCTGAATAAATAAATCCTCAACACCCTGACCTCAGACACAGAAAATGATCATGCTTGTTCAGAAGCGTCCTCCGACATCTAACAACATAAACCTCAGCTCCCTTCTCAAAACTGAGCACCGGTTCATCTCTCGACCCAACAGTGGAACCTCCAAAGGTTACCCACTGCATGTCCCAAAACGTCTCGCCGACTTCCTTTCATAACAACTATCTCGGCCCAGTGTGACACACAACAAGTCACGGAGTTCGCTTTATCCCAAGCGAATACTAAAATCCCAACTGAAATCGTCTCACCCTCGACCTCTGTCGTCTACTACTCATTAGTTCCATGCATCTTGCGGTCCTTCCCATACAACCGAACTGACCCACTCAGGTCTAAGACATCATAAGACACACAATACCCCAAAAAATGAAACCCTTCTCTGAGTCTGGAATCTCATTCGCCTACTCAATACACCACCAAAGCCAAACTCATACTCGAGAGTCTGGTCCGACACAGAATTGGAACCACTCGTCCCAATGGAGCACCCAAGTCATGACCCATGACCCGCAACTCACACGTACATCATTTCTCCAAGCCCTTTCGATTGCGATAACTACAACTTAACTCAGAATATAACGATTCTCGACACATATGGAGATCCCAGTCTCGCCCCTGGTCCGACCACCAGGTTCCCGAAACTCAAATATTAAGGCTACCCAAGCCTAAAAACTCTTCTGCGTCATGCTCTGACTAGCGAATAATATGGCTCCCCGTAGTATCATAAAATTCCCTCTCACTAACCTGTGAAGGCTACGGTTCCCCGCAGGCCTACGACACTCTCTCACCGATTCATGAATACTACGGCTCCCTACAGTATCACAACACTCTCTCGCTGACTGGTGAACACTACGGATCCCCGCAGTATCACAACACTTTCTCGCAGACTGGTGAACACTACAGATCCCCCCAGTATTACAACACTCTCTCGCTGACTGGTGAACACTACGGCTCCCCGCAGTATCACAACACTTTCTCGCAGACTGGTGAACACTACGGCTCCCCGCAGTATCACAACACTTTCTCGCACTGACTCGCCATGGGCTCATTCCATGGTTTTCCCTTGATAATCAGAAGTGATTACTCCCACTCGGACCCACTCACCCTCTTATTCCCCATAATCTCCCCCTCGAGTCATCACCCCACTGAGTTCACTATCGAATACTCCACGGCTCAACATAGATAGGTACACGCACCCACCCAGGTTAAGCATCACCACTCCTGACGACAACCATCGTGACCGACACCCTTTTTTTGCTGTAATTCACATTCTGGGATACTCCCGTTGAAACCATAGCCACTTGGTACTTCACTTGCCATCTCATCACTCAAGTCTCAAAATAATCCGAAATTCAGGGCATTGTACTCGGATAACTTGGTACACCATCACAAATCTCACGATGTCTTGACTCATACACCGATCTTCCACTAGCACAGCTCGCAACTTCGAAATACTCCAACTCACAACTTGAAACACGGAGGAATCGTCAATGTCAAGAACACGTTGACGACCATCCGAAACCCCATCCTCTATGGCTCAAACCCATGCGAGAATACTCATACCGACTCTGAAGTTGACTGCCAACAACTGTTGCCCTTCCCAAAGTGAACATAACAACACATACATTGAACTGGAAATTCTCCACCGTCGAAACTATCCTTACGAGCCAATCACCTCGAATTCGACCATTACAACCTCGAAGAGTTTCTCATCACCCTAAGGCGCCTGCCCAACGACTACTCATTATGGAGACACTCCTCCTTCCCTGAGCACATACAACACACATTATCTCGCCCTACACCTCGCCTTGATCACCAATAACCATGATCTCATGAATCCGCACCGCAGGTCTCCATATACAGCTCTCTAACCACACTAGAACAATTATCTGATTCTCCCAGTAAATAATCCAGTTCTCCCCCACTCAGGGTTCGAACCATCACCATTTGGTATACCGCAGTCTACTCCACAGACTGGCTAGCCAGATGCACCAATTCCGCCTCATGGGATATACCACACCGCGCTCGATGATCTTCCGGATAATAACCACATAACTCCAATTATCCTGAAATCCACCCATCTCATAAAAACCTGCTCACGTGACTGCCTCCATCCATCTCGAAATCTCAGACCAACACACCGCCAGATATCCCATTTGTCCCTAATTAGTCCCGTCTCAATCTGGAAATAATCCACTATCACACCTCTCGTCTCTAATCCTTCCTCCAACGTCCCATCGTGTGGATTATCATAGAAACAGGAGACTCCACTCTCACAACCGATACACAACATAAGCAACGAGGGACACCGCCCCGGTATACTCCTCGAAATCTCCTGGAACTGCTGCTAAAAAGTATGCCTCACCCAGGAAGGTACTTCCTTGTTCTCTTACATCTCAGTCTCCACTAATAACTCTCTCATGGAATGGGACATACTTCGCAGTAGATATGTTGCTCAAATACTCTGGTGAAAAGATCACAACCATATGCTACCCCACAAGGTTTACCTCCAACTCTGAAACCGGAAGCTCAATATCTCTTCTGCCCCTCACAGGAAACCGAAATAGCACAACTCTTGGTCACAGAAAGTAACATCTCCACTATCGGCCGATTGCTCAACTCAGACCGGAATCCCTCATAAAGCCTCATCCATACTCATTCCTGAGTCTTGCGACTCCAACTGGCGCCTCACCAATAAAATCTCTCGAAACTAACTCAAGTTCCTTCTCAAGGTAGGTCCCACTGAAACTCGTTCAACATGGCCCTCTGGCCCCACACTCTATCACATTGGATCTCAATCTAACCCATTACAACATAATAACTGGTAAACCAGAAGCACTAACCGCCACGAGTCATGGTACTCAAACCATGTGGCCACCTCTCGACCTACTATGAATCATGGTACCCAAACCATGTTACCTCTTCTCAATCCACTACGAATCATGGTACTCGAACATTGTTCTCTCTTCTCAATCCACTACGAATCATGGTACCCAAACCATGTTACCTCCAGTCCCACGGCTCGTTGGACCCTCTGGTCCGGTCTCTATGAGGACCCTCTGGTCTCACTGCTCGTTGGACCCTTTGGTCCGGTCAGTAAAGCTCCGCATAGCATAAATCACAAAGACATAATGCACAACATAAAACATAAGGCAGGATAACATAATACTCAATATAAGCACATAAGACCCTCCGATCACACATAAGTACCACTCTAGGTAATGTATAGTGAGAAGACTCACCTCGCAAGCAGGTGAGCAAATAACCTCGCGCTCGGATCTCGAACTAGCCTCCGCCTAACACAAAGGATGAATATTTCTAATTAATACTCTTTTCACGACTCAGATAACCGAAGGCTATTCTTTCTCTCTCTAACTCTTTGAAGTGGGTAAAAGACCATTTTACACCTCCATGGTCTCTATTACTCATGTTGACCAAAACCCCAAAGTCAATATAATTCAAACTCGAGTCAACATTCCATGTTTGACCCGACTCGCCGAGTGCACCCTTGTGACTCATGGAGTCCCATCATTTTCCACATAAGTATCGCGAAGGTTGACTCAGCTCGTCGAGTTGACACCCAACTCGCCGAGTGATCGCATGATTCAGCTCTACGAGACAAACCCTAATCAACTCGTCGAGTCGGCTCATTGACTCGACGAGTTCATTCATACCCAAAGCTCATTCAGACAATTTAAAACAGATCTATCACTCTAAACACTAGATCTGTCCTCTCAAGGCTCAATAGTCACGTAAAGCTTCAATCTTTACGTTCATGCATGATGTTATTGCTCCAAAATGCTAATACATGCCCTTCATGAATGATTAAGCCCAAAAACCCTCATGAGGATGAATAAAGATGGGACACCTAGACTCTAAGGAGCTCACAAGGTCCAGATCTGAGGTCTAGACTTCTTAATAACTCATGCTACTCAAAAACCCAACAAAAGATGGCAAAAAGCCCTAAAACTCCATAGATATGAGATCTATACAAA